CAGAACCTGAAGAGGTCCAACAAACAGAACCAGGAGAAGTTGAGACGGCTGAGGACTCTGAACCTGAACTGATCCCAGAACCTCCCAGACCTGATGAAGATGGGTCCAAAGAACCAGAACCGGAGAATGGGATGGTTCTGAATGGTGAGACTGCAGGTGGTTCTGTTCTTCTGGAGGTCTGGTTCTGAAGAGAGAACCTGAAAACATTTGGATTTTATTTAGTTAAACTTAGAACCATTTTGATCATCAGAACCTTCAGAACCTTTCAGAACATTCAGAACCTTTAGAACTTTCAGAAACTTCAGAACCTTTTAGAACCTTCAGAACCTTTCAGAACATTTTAGAACCTTCAAAACATTTCAGAACCTTCTAGAACCTTCAAAACATTTCAGAACCTTCTAGAACCTTCAAAACATTTCAGAACCTTCTAGAACCTTCAAAACATTTCAGAACCTTTCAGAACCTTCTAGAACCTTCAGATCCTTTTAGAACCTTCAGAACCTTTGAAGGAAGGAAGGGAGCCCTGGACCCCGTCCCAGCAGTCTGACTCTACGTGTGGTTCTGTTCCAGGTGCGGCTGCAGCTGAAGCGGGTCGGAGGTTCTGTGTGGAGAACCGGAGCAGCACCTTTCTGATGATGGAGGAGGAGCAGAGGTGAGTTAAGCTCCGCCCCTTCACCTGCTCTGCTGCTGTTCTGTTTTGGGTCAGAACCTCTGAGGTTTTGTTTTGTTCTGACTGAAACTGAGCTGCTTCTGTTTTAGAACCAGAACCAGGTTTACTGAAGAGTTCACATCAAGAACTGGTTCTGATGAACCTGGACTCAGACCTGCTGAGACCACGGTTCTGACCACTGAGTCCTCCTCAGACTCTCCTGATTTCAGACTTTATTTTTTACGATCTGGACTTTATGTTTCAGGGTTGAACTGACGTCGGACCTGACCCGTCTGTAGTCCACCTGGACCCAGACTCTGGGTCTCACAGGGACCCGGTAAGATCTGGTTCCTGCAGAATTTAATCCTCCAACAGACAGTCTGTCCTGTCCGATGAAGCTCCTCCCCTTCCTGTCCTGTCTGACGAAGCTCCTCCCCTTCCTGTCCTGTCTGACGAAGCTCCTCCCCTTCCTGTCCTGTCTGACGAAGCTCCTCCCCTTCCTGTCCTGTCTGATGAAG